ATCGAGCCTGTTCCTACTTTGAAGACGCTCAACCTGTCACACGCTCAACTCGCCAGCATTGATTCTGCCTTCTCTAACATGATTAATCTCGAGACGCTAGTTTTGGACAAGAACTACTTTGTTTCCTTGCCCCAGCAGATTGGAACACTTAGCCGTTTAGAGCACTTCAGTATTGCCAACAATTCTGTGGGTGAACTGCCTCCCCAAATTGGTTGTCTCACTGAACTGCGGGTCCTGGATGTGCGAGGGAACAACATTTCAAAACTGCCCATGGAAATTTGGTGGGCCAACAAGCTCGAGACCTTCAATGCATCATCAAACGTGCTTGACGCATTCCCCAAACCCGCGTCGAGACCTCCGCGAGTTCCTGGAGAAGAACCGACAGGGCCGCCTACTGTACAAAATGGCAAACCTTTACCCCCAAATCCAATACCATCAACTCCCAGCTCCGAAGATCTCTCTGACGAACGACGCCCAAGCCAAGCCTCCAGTACTCTTCTCAGTGTTGGGCCATCACCAGTCTTGGCTACGGCAGACAGGAAGAGCTCTGTGGTGTCTGTCTACGGAAAGGGTGGGCGTAAGACGTCTGTTGTTTCTCGAGCAGCCTCTCAGGCCACCAACTCTACTACCCCTCCGCCAACCACCACTAGGAAGGATTCTGGACTTTCATCGAGGCTCACCAATACTTTTGCAGGATCACTTCGAAACTTGTATATTGCCGACAACCGGCTGGATGACGATGTTTTTGACCAGATCATTCTGCTTTCCGAATTGCGTGTCCTCAACCTCTCGTATAATGATGAAATTAGCGATATGCCTCAAAGATCGATCAAGAACTGGCCCCAGCTTGTGGAGTTGTACCTGTCTGGCAACGGTCTGACCTCGCTGCCTGCCGATGATTTGGAGGAGTCGAGTCTTTTACAGACCTTGTACATCAACGGAAACAAATTCACCAATTTGCCGGCAGACATTTCGAGGGCCAAGAAATTAGCCGTCTTGGACTGTGGCAATAACTATCTCAAGTACAACATTTCAAATGTCCCCTACGATTGGAATTGGAACCTGAATCCTAATCTGCGGTACCTCAACCTTTCCGGCAACAAGCGACTAGAAATCAAGCAAACGGCATGGGGAGGCCCAGATGGACCTGGTGCAGTGAACCGAGAGCAGTACACCGACTTCAGCAGGCTGCTGAACCTTAGAATTCTGGGCCTCATGGATGTCACCTTGACGCAGCCCAGCATCCCCGACCAAAGCGAGGACAGACGAGTTCGAACGTCTGGCTCATTGGCAGGCCATCTCCCCTACGGTATGGCGGACACACTGGGCAAGAACGAGCACTTGTCCACGGTAGATCTTGTGGTACCCCGATTCAATTCATCCGAAACAGAGATGCTCCTGGGTCTATTCGATGGTCAAGCCCTGTCAAGCGGTGGTTCCAAGATTGCCAAGTATCTGCATGAGAATTTTGGTCACATATTTGCCATGGAACTGAAAGCTATAAAGAATAGACCGGATGATACTCCAACCGACGCACTGCGGAGAGCGTTTTTGTGCTTGAACAAAGACCTGGTCACAGTAGCCGTCCAACATACCGAGGAAAGACCCAAGGCGGCTCATAGGGGATCAGCGCAACCGGTCGTACTCAGCAAAGAGGATCTGAACTCTGGCGGCGTAGCTACAGTTCTCTACCTACGTGGCACTGAGCTTTATGTTGCCAACGTCGGCGATGTCCAAGCTATGGTTATCAAAACAGATGGCAAACACGAGATCCTCACACGAAAACATGATCCGGCTGAGCCATCAGAACGCTCGAGAATCAGAGAAGCCGGGGGTTGGGTATCCCGCAACGGCAGACTGAATGATTTGCTTCAAGTCTCCAGAGCATTTGGCTACGTCGATTTGATGCCGGCAGTACAGGCGGCTCCCCACGTCAACAAGATGACAATCAAGGAACACGATGAAATCATCTTACTGGCCACCAGTGAGCTCTGGGAGCATCTTGCTCCAGGCCTCATTACAGATATCGCCCGATCTGAGCGGCAGGACCTCATGAGAGCAGCCCAGAAATTGCGTGATTTGGCCATGGCATACGGCGCGTCTGGTAAAATTATGGTCATGATGATTAGCGTTGCTGACCTCAAGAGGAGAGTTGAACGATCCCGCTTACATCGCGGCACGAGCATGTCTCTGTATCCTTCAGGTATCCCCGACGATACTCAAGTCTTGTCTACCAGACGACGAGGAAAAGCCAAGGGAGACGTGCTGGACTCGTCACTCAACAGACTCGAAGCTGAGATCCCTGCGCCAACTGGTAATGTCTCCATTGTGTTCACCGATATCAAGAACTCGACAACACTTTGGGAGATGTATTCAAGCGCAATGAGATCCGCCATCAAGCTACACAATGAGGTTATGCGGCGTCAATTACGCAGAATAGGAGGATACGAAGTCAAGACTGAAGGCGATGCCTTTATGGTCTCGTTTCCCACGGCAACCTCTGCACTTCTCTGGTGCTTTGCAGTCCAAATGGAACTGCTGGATGTCAGCTGGCCGTCAGAAGTTTTGAATTCCATGTCGTGCCAGCCCATCTTTGATAAGGACGGTGCCTTGATTTTTAAGGGGTTGTCTGTGAGAATGGGTATTCATTTCGGAGATTGCGTAAGTGAGACAGATCCTGTGACACGCCGCATGGATTACTTCGGCCCCATGGTCAACAAAGCATCCAGAATCTCGGCGGTGGCAGACGGTGGTCAAATAACCGTCTCCTCTGATTTCATTTCGGAGATTCAGCGGTGTCTGGAAAATTACCAAGACACCGAGCGCAATGCCTCCGGTGGATCTGACGAGGCATTCGAAGATGAGTCGTTTGCAGCCACTATCCGAAAGGACCTAAGATCTCTTACCTCCCAGGGTTTTGAAGTTAAGGAGATGGGAGAGAAGAAGCTCAAGGGACTGGAAAATCCTGAAGTTGTTTACTCTTTGTATCCCCACGCTTTGGCTGGGCGAATAGATCAGCACCAGCAGCATGAGCGACGGGACGAAGGACTTGACAGACCTGCCATCCTTGCCCCTGGTAGTGAGTTATCTTTCGACCCAGAAAGTATTTGGGCACTATGGAGAGTTAGCCTTCGTCTGGAGATGCTGTGCAGCACTCTTGAGGAGGTTAGGGGGTCCGGCCTACAACCACCCGAGACCGAACTATTGGAACGGATAAAATCCAGAGGTGGAGAGGTCACCGAAAAGTTCTTACTCAACTTTATGGAACACCAAGTGACCAGAATAGAGGTAAGCCAATACCGCCTGCCAGCTTACTCTTCTTTGATACAATGCTAACGGATTTGGTAGACATGTGTCTCGACTCTTGTAATGCGACACCTGGCTCTTGGACAACCGATTATCAAAGAACTCAATGACCTTCGTGGACCTATGTCTCTGGTACTCGATTACTTTGTGAAGCAACAAGAGGAGCTGGCGCGATACAAACAGTTCTACGGAGACATGCCACCTGAAGGTGATGCCTCGGGTGGCAAGACGCAAAGGGCTATAGCCAGTGCTCACGAAATCGATTACTAGACAGCAGCGCTGACATCAGTCCTTTTTTTTATTATTATTTCAGTATATATCCTGAGAGGGGGCTACTTTGAGCTGTTTGATTTGCCTATGTTCTTTATCTCTCTCTCTTCCCCCCTTACGTCAGCGGCTGCTCATACTGAAACAACTTGGCTTTGGTTGCGGGTGGCTAATTTCTGAGTACGCGCTTATTTTCTCTACGGGATTCCAACAGGATTTGCATCAATATACGGGGGAAGAACCTGGATCTTGGAAACTAGGCATGCAATTTTGAATATTTATATGTTTGGGAGCGCCATGGAGCACGTTTGTTTTCTTTGGGAGGGTGGTTTGGGGATGGTGCCATGGTGGGTGACCATGAGTGGGCGTTTTGGTGTTTATGGCTAGATGAATAGCTGAGCAGCTGTGTGATGAAGAAAACATGATGCTATTGAGTAGAGTTGCTCAAGATGTATTTGTGAGGAGTAGTTTATTCAGCGAGGAACAAGAAGTATTAGGCCAAATACGGCATTGGTCTACTACACAGAATATTATTGAGACATGGATATGTGCTGGTGACAGCTCCGTGGCATGTAAATACATCGCCGCAGAATTTCAATTACGTCTGGTTTGTTGAACGAATGAAAGCATGGCCGGGTGTAACTGCGACGAACACTGCGCTGGAAATTGCAGCTAATACAACTGGCGAGTTCTCGCACCGTGTCGACTTGGACTTGGGACTATCGTGAACGCACAAGGCGGCTTGAGGACTGTTTATACACCTGGTGTTTTGCTTTGTTCATGAGGCTTGGCAGATGCAGGGACTACTACCTCAGGTAGGTAGAGAAGAGCACCTGGGCGTTGCACTTACTCCACGACGTACAGTCTGGTAGGGTATATTCACCCCATAACGCATACACTCATATGTTATGGTATATTATGATGTAGAGGGCGATACGCCAGGGACTTGATCTTGTTGAGTCCCTTTTGCCCCCAACTGTACGGTCGGTCGTATATTGGTGTATACTTGGCAATGAATAAATGCACCTGGCTAGAGACTGTAGTTACAAGGACGTTTTTAGTCTGCTTACGTTGCTGCTTGATATTTGACGTAGCCAGCTTGGCTTCATGCAGGCCGCTTACTTGTGACTTGGGGGCCTTGGCAGGAAGAAATCAGTCCAGTTCTTTGCGGAAAATGTCTTGTTTCAAAGACAATGGTTTGTGGACGTTGCGGCTCAATTTATATTCAGCTTGGGGTATGTACATGCGACGTAGCGCACGTGTGGTCCCGGTCTTGTTGGGGTGTATACATGTTTTGGTGGACGCAAGAGAACACTTCCTCACATCGGGTATATCTCGCTCCTTATGGACGTCCCCCTATTTTTGACAGACAAAGGTTACTTTTTCCAATCCCATATACTCCCCTTTGGCAATTTTGCCCCCCCCTCTCACGCCGGCCTTCTTTTGACAAACTCCTCCAAGTCCTGTGCGGTGGCAACGCCAAGGACAAATCTTCTATTCTCGTCGGTGATGACGGCAAACTCCTCCTTCCAGGGGCCGTCGGTCTGGCCGCCACGGAAGAACTCCTCCAGCTGCTCGAGGGGTGTCTCCATGGTGATGACCTTGTACCGTCTGTTTCGGCGCTGGAAGTGCGCCATGGCGGACGAGAGGGGATCTTCAGGCTTGACCTTGCCGCTGTCTAGCTGTGCCTGGAGGTGGGGGATGGAGATGTATCCGAGGAGAGCGCGGGTTTCGGAGTCGACGATGGTGAGGTGGGTGTACTCGCGTTCGAAGGCCGACAGGAGGGCAAGTGAGATGGCATCGGAGGGGTTTAGGGACAGGGCGGCGGGGGGCTCGAGGTCCTGGACGGTGGCCTGGTGATGTGTTAGACTTTTTTTCGTGGTTTAACGATTGACTTTTGTTCAGATGAGACAGCCGGGGGACGGCGGTTTTTTTGGCCAAGAAAAAAAAAGAGGCCATTCGGACATACCCCGCGATACCGAGAGGACCATCTAGACTGGAAGGATTTGGGTGTGCCATCCACGACAACGGGGATGGTTGCGGTCTGCGCAGCCATGCTTCAGGAATAGATGTTGGGCTAGAGGATTCGGCTACTCTGAAGAATAGTTTTTTTTGGCGACGAAAGTATGGTTCGTTGAGCTGGAAAGACGTCGGCGTGCAGTGGCATGTGAGGTTTGCCAGGTGTCGGTATCATATGAACGGAAAAAGACAAGGTCCAACGGTCCGCCGCAGAATGGCGTGAGTTCATGTGGGGTGCGGCTTCCCAATGACAGCAGCTTCAGTTGCAGCTCCACATCGGCACGCTCCATGTCTCCTTGCCTAGTAGGCATCTTCTTAAGTAGGTAATTGCCACGGCGAAGGTCCCAATAGCCTCGGGGCTGACCGTTATTAAATGCTATTCTAGATTGCTTTGTGTTTCTGTACAGGGAAATGGTTAGCCATTGGGAGCCTCGCTTCCGCTACATCTACATGAAATCACGGACCAGGTCGGAACTGTGGCCCTGCCGCCCTGCATATCACATCCCCCCAGAAGCTCAGGCGGGGCGGGGCCGCCAGGTTCGGAGTAGTGTCACTCCACAATCAACTGAACTTGGGCCCATGGCACCGCGAAGCATCGCAAAGAGAAGGCAAATTGTACAAAGGATGTTTGCATATCACAGAGAGTCCCCAAGCCAAAGAACACCCAAGGGAAAAAAAAATTAGATTAAAACCATGACACCCGTACCCAGTACGCCTCCCAAGCCTCACAGCTAGAAGAGTGGCTCCTGCCTTGAATCGGATGGCAGAGTGATGTCACCATTGCAGCCCACGACCAGTCACATCTCGAAGCTCCAACGAAAGCTCCTGGCAACCCGTTAAATCCGTACGTCTCACTCACCTGTGGGTGGGTGCAACCCGGACATTCTTGCCATCCTTTGCTGCGTGAACAAACCTCTCTGTTTTCCGTGTTGATTTTCTTCTTCTTCAAACATCGTCGCGGCAATCATCCATCCTGCCCGTATCTCGTCCTAAGCCACTCATATTCGGGGACTGTCGGGACCTGGATCCCGCTTGCACCTTTTTCGGTGAGTCACGCCAACACAATTCAAGCCTGAGAGATATTCGGACTCTACCAATTGCCTCACCTCTCAGGCAAAAAAAGGAATTGTGGTAGCATCATGGCTTGCCAAGTGCCATATCAGCCATGATACCCGGGTGCTGTTGGCGACCGAGACGAGGTCGCAATGGGAAGTAAATACGATTACTCTAACTTTTGTTACGCATTTTTAGATCAATCCCTCGACTGACCACCGTCGAACCTGGGGAGACCACGAACCAACGGGGAGAATTGGTATCAATCATTTCACCAACCCTGAGTCATCATGGCACACCTCTTTCCGCGACCTGAAGCCCTCAAGGGAACCATGTACACTCCAATGGAGACCAGCATGTCCAAGCCGACGCCATACCAAGCTCGGCCCGACCTCTTCGGCGTGTATTCCGTTGTCGAAGACGCAAAGGACAAGGCACACAAGCTTGGCGCTGAAGCTACAAAGGAATTTGAAAAGGCCAGCTCCGCTGCCCAGGCCAAGGCCGGCAAGATTGAGCTGTATTCCGGCAAGTATTACGCTGCTTGCACCTTTGGCGGTCTCATGGCCTGTGTGAGTCCTTCCCCTTGGGAGTTGCTTTTGAGCAACATGTATATATATGTGTGTGTGCTTTTCGCTCATGGCAATGCTTGATTGAATAGGGCCTCACACACACGGCTGTAACGCCTCTTGATTTCGTAAAAACCCGTCGTCAAGTCGACTCGAAACTGTACACCAGCAACTTCCAGGCTTGGAGTAAGATTTACCGCGCCCAAGGGATTCGCGGCATCATGACCGGCTGGAGCCCTACATTTTTTGGGTACAGTGCACAGGGATCCTTCAAGTACGGCTGGTATGAATATTTCAAGAAGACGTACAGCGACATTGCTGGCCCAGAAGCTGCGTACAAGTACAAAACTGGGCTTTACCTGGCCGCTTCTGCGTCCGCCGAGTTCCTCGCCGACATTGCTCTTTGTCCTTTTGAAGCTGTCAAAGTGCGCATGCAGGGCACCATACCCAACCCTTATACTGGCACCCTGCACGGCATCAACACCATTGTAGCCAAAGAAGGCTGGGCCGGCCTTTACAAGGGACTGTATCCATTGTGGGGACGTCAGATTCCCTATACCATGATGAAGTTTGCTTCGTTTGAGACTATTGTTGAAAAGATTTATGACCGTCTCCCCGGACAAAAGAGCGACTATGGCAAGGCTGCGCAAACCGGTGTTTCTTTCACCGCTGGATACCTCGCTGGTATTCTCTGTGCCATTGTCTCCCACCCCGCCGATGTCATGGTCAGTAAATTGAATGCGTATAGAAAACCTGGCGAGGCATTTGGGACCGTCACACGCCGGATCTACGGGGAAATTGGATTCGGAGGACTCTGGAACGGTCTCCCCGTCCGTATCGTCATGATTGGCACTCTGACTGGTCTCCAGTGGATGATTTATGTAAGCCTCCAGCCCATGCCACGAACCCCCCTTCTCCATGTTGCCGTGTCGTCACTAATGGTATTCCTTTGTAGGATTATTTCAAGATTTTCATGGGCCTACCGACCACCGGTGGCCCTCCTCGACCTGAGGAGGAGAAATAAACAGAAATTCACTCGCATGGTTTTCGGTAATGGGAGAAGGAAATCCACCCTCTGGAAACGGGGAATGGGCTGGAATTGCTGAGTCGCTGGAATCTGTTACATTTCAAAGTTTGTGCTTTTAGTTTGTCTTTTGCTTTCCGTCAGTCAATACCGAGTATTTGAAATGGCATGCAGTTGCGCTGATTCGGAATATGTTTGTATCTGCCGTGTAACTTGTGAGTGTTCAAATGGACTTTCTCGTCCATTGGAAGTAGACGTGATTGACGCATTATGGTGCCAAATCCAAGAAGCTAACAGAACCTGGACAGTCAAGGCCCAAAATCAAGACATTCGATATCGAGCGTGGAATTTGCAATTCGATAGTTTGGGTCTCAGATGCCGAATGCGTCCACAAGTCTAGTTCGTTCCCTTCAGTGGCAACCTCAGTGCCCGGCAATGTAGCGGCGGCGCAATACCAACTCGCTCGGTTCCCCGGCGCCGCCTATACGAGCCCAGACGTCATTGAGATGGAATTGTTCCCTCTGGAAACATGTACAGTGTCGAATGCCAACTTGGGCGGACTGAAGACGTCGCCCAGAGTCTGCCGGTTGCCGGCATGACAATGGCCTAGTGGCATTACTCCGTACCTAGATGCTCCTCTCTTAAACGGAAGCGCGGCACCTGGAAACTGGCATAATGTCAGATAAAATGTAGCTGGAATTGAATGTAATAGTGTATAGGGAAGAAGAAAAGGAAAAGAAGCTTATGATGTTGATGATTCAAGCGTATAAGAAGGAAATGCGCCTGACTAATAAGAGCGCGCCGCTCACATTTAACTCACCTTGGTAAATAAAAAAGGTCAACGGACCTACTTACAGCTAATAAGAAGCCTAGACATATGTATGCTATTAAAACACCATGAAAAATAATTTACAGGCAATTAAGCCGAAGGCAAAGCTCTAACCGGTTATCTAAGCGTTAAGCTACAATCTACGCAGCTCGTGAGTCGTGATAGCTTCACTTACGGACCCAATTGGGGGGTGTGTCGCAAGGGGTCACTCATGACTAGAAGTATGTGTTACATACGAGGAACCCTAATTAGGGTATAACAGATAACGCGCACAGCAATGCGCCTTTTATAAAAAGGGCGCACATACATAATCATTTTATTTATAGCTACCTAGGTAGTTATGGACTTGACCTCCATCATCTTCTGCTGTGTGACACAACTCGAGGGCAGGAAACCCAGGGTGGAATGGAACGCCCAGGGTGATCTGGTCAATGTACATACAATCAATACATTGTACTACTAACATGGCACCCCGTACCCTGGTCTTGTAAAAAGAACACTTCTGAACTAGTAGAGGCAGCGCTGGGGGGCCAGCTAGGAACTTGATAAGATTTGACGGGCAGGATGGTTGGACAACTGCAGGATGATGAACCACTCGGCGCTGCCGTATTGCACGATCCACGGTGCCAGCCCTCAGGCAATGACCAGGGATCCTTGCGTCCCCAGACAATCCGTGTAGGAGTTGGGGCCCTGGGCTCGACAAACGACACAAGACGCAGAGCACGGAGGACCCTCGGTCGACGCACATCGAAACATAAGTTGACGAACCAAGGCCGAACCAAGCCCCCCCAAAAACCAGCCTTCATTGTCAGGGCCCGTCATCTCCACGTCGTCTGCCCACTCCGCCGACGATTTGAGGATGGGTTGTCAAGTCGAGAGGGTCCCGGTGTGTGTGGCTGGCCTGGCCCTGGCTGCAGAGCCGCCTAGGAGCGGACTGGCTGATGGCTTGAATTCAATGCGTCCCGGACTTGGCCCTAACTGCGACGATTGCACGAGGCTTTTGGATGATGGTGGTGCTGCACAATGTACATATGGGGCGCCTCCAAGGTCTGATGGTGTCGAAGGATGGCTGGGACTTTTGCCCAACAAGCGCTCGTCAACTCCGTATTAATACTTCAAAAGTTGGCGGGTGCGCTCCTGCCTTTTGTGCCTCCCTCTGACCACATGTAGTCACCACCACCTCACCACCTCACCTTGATACACACCTCAACATCTCACACCTCATCTTCTCCCTGGTCTCCTGCTGCGTGCTTTCGCCTCCACTCACTAGGCAGCCACCCAATACTCCCCTGGTTTTTTTTTTGTTGACCAAAAGAGAGAGAGAGTGCGTCATTTGTCATTTATTTCCGTGCCATCCTTCCTCCTTGCGTCGCCCAGAAACGCCTTCAGATTTATCCTCCTTGGCTCTGTCACCACGGACGACGGTCCGCAGCGTTCTGGAAGCACAGCCTTTGCGAAGATAAGACTTTGCCCTTACAATACCGAGCATATTGGAACATACCGCGCGACAGCTGGGTATTGTATCTGGTCGAGTGACCTTTCATCTGCGGAGCACATCGACTTGATATCTCAGCAATCTGCTTTGGACAATTACAACAAGTCAGTCACGCAGCCTGTTTCCGGCCTGGAGAGCTTTTATCGACTCTTGCCCGAAATACTCCGTACCTGTCCCATCCCATCCCACCGTCATCCACTTTCTACCCCGTACGGAGTACGGAGACTAGACAAGGAGACAAGGACCATCCATCCACCATCCATCCCCATCTTGCCATCCCACGCAACCACGTTTTGCGCTCGACGCCACACCATCCCTCCGCTTCTGGCTCTGCCCCAGGTCAAGTTGTACCAGAACCGTTGACGGCTACGGAACCAGTCCTGGGCGTGCATCAGACCGACCTGCGCCCCCATCGCTCCGTCGTTCCGTCACTCGCCGCTCCAACTCGACTCGACGCCCTGACTCGGCTGAGCAAAGTGCGAACTCTCTTCTGTTCCAACCTGCACTCTTCACTCCCTGTGTCTCGCAATTGGCTTCGACAGTAAATCAGAACGGCTCTCATGCGAATGATACCTTGCATTCATTGCCACCGACATCGCATTGCGGGCGCTGCGCAGCTGTGGCTGCTAATCCCGCCCAGCAGCTGAACTGACGTCGTCGCTGCGACGTCTCGACGTGCCCTGTTACCATCTCCGCATCTAGACGTCTGCCAGCGTCGCCATCATGGCTGGGTTCTTGACCAAAATTAAGAGTGCCAGTTCGGTACGTTTTTCCTGTTGAATTTTTCCCTCTTCACTTTTTGATTTAGTTTCTTCTTTCCCGCCCAGCCCGTTTTGCTCGGCAACAGCGCTCCCCATCATTTGTCTGTTTCCGGTCTGCTCACTTGGCGCCAAGCCGGGTATGAGGGTTGCTGTGCTGACAAAATGCCTCTTATCAGGCCCTACCGAACCAACCATCCAAAGATGCTCAAGCGAAAAAGAAAGATGATACTGTTTTCGAAGTCACCCCCCTTGAAAAGATGCTGCAAAATGCAGGTCCGTTACGTGAAGATGGAAGCGACAAGTTCTTTGGTTTTGAGAATGTAAGTGTCGCACACATGCCCAACTTTGGAAGGCTGCCCACGAGACCTCCACCAAGATTTATTGAGCAAATTGTGAGCTGACAAACACGAACTAAAAGTTTGGAAATACATGGTAGGAAATCAGCATTAGATGGCCCCTTTCCTCTTCAGACTAGTTCACTAACAACAGCATCCTAGTTACTGCAACTCTATTGTCCAAGCCTTATTCTACTCTGATCTGTTTAGAGAGAGCGTTATAAACTATCCTCCGTACTCACCCTCAAACACGCCGAACGGCACACGACCCAAAGTCAATGTGACACTTAGACCTCCCATGAGCCCGACCCCGCCGACCCCGCAGCCGAACAAGAAGAATCAGACTGCTTCGCAGGCTCTCAAGCAACGACAGGCGATGAACGTCGGCCAGACTCCCGCTGGGCAGGCCGTGAAGCCCGAAGACAAACCCGACACACCCGAGTATAAGAAGAAACAAGCCATGCTGAAAGGCCCCATATTGGAGCTGGCGAGTCAGAATGGAGCCGCATACGGCATGGATGAATGTACATTTACGGGACTGAAGGACATCTTCCTGGCTCTTCTCGAAAGCAATACCAGAACCGGGGTGCTGAGCCCACAACGATTTTTAGAGATATTCAAGCGCGACAACGAAATGTTTCGAAATTCCATGCATCAGGATGCACACGAATTTTACGGCTTGGTGTTGAATGATGTCATTTCCAATGTGGAAAAGACCGCCCGTAAATATCAAGAACTGGGGGAAGCCAGAAGACAGGATGGTCTAATCCAGTCGGTAGAAAATATTATTGGTGCTGCCGCTCTGAACCATGGAGCAGCAGGCTATCAATCCCCCGGAATCGGATGGGTTCACGATATCTTTGAAGGCGTGTTAACATCAGAGACGAGGTGTCTAACATGTGAAACGGCATCACAACGAGATGAGACATTCCTCGACCTGTCCATTGATCTCGAAGAACACGCTTCCGTTACATCGTGTCTGCGGAAGTTCTCAGCCGAGGAAATGCTGTGCGAGCGAAACAAATTTCACTGTGACCATTGCGGCGGTTTACAAGAGGCCGAAAAGCGCATGAAGGTCAAGCGTCTGCCTAAGATTTTGACTCTACACTTGAAGCGATTTAAATACACGGAGGACTATAGCCGACTACAAAAGCTTTTCCACCGAGTGGTCTATCCATACCACCTCCGCATGTTCAACACTACAGATGATGCAGAGGACCCCGATCGGCTGTACGAGCTGTATGCTGTCGTCGTACACATCGGTGGCAATGCATATCATGGCCACTATGTGTCGATCATTAAAACCAAGGACAGGGGATGGCTTCTCTTTGATGATGAAATGGTTGAGCCTGTCGATAAGCACTTTGTACGTAACTTTTTCGGAGACAAGCCGGGCATGGCCACGGCATACGTTTTGTTTTATCAGGAGACCACGTTCGAGAAGGTAAGAGAAGAGCAAGAAAAGGAGGGAATGGAAGAGGTCAAACTGGCAACACAGGCGGCGAACGTCGCCCACGAGGACAGTGACAAAGGAGACTCCACCCCATTGAAGAGACAGGCAACGCAACCAGCGCCGCCTATCCCAGAACAAGATTCACTGTCAAGCCTCGCTCACGCTCAGACTGCGCCGGATATTGCCACCCCTACCCCTCCGGCGAGCGAAATACCCAGCCTCCCAGTGGGATTGGCAGCTGCAGGCTCTGCCCGGACACCAACGGTGAAACAGGATGGGCAGAGCAAAGAAGACAAGAAGAGAGAGAAGAAGGAGCGTGAGGCCGTGGAAAAGGCCGCCAAGCAGGCAGAGAAGGATAGAGAGAAGCAGGCCAAGGCAGCAGCAAAGGAGGAAGAGAAGGCTAGAGAGAGGCAAGCTAAAGACGACGAAAGACGACGGCGTGAAGAGCAAGTACAGAGGATCCAGACCCGCAGAACTGAACAGGAAGAATTCCAAAAGGTATTGGATGCCAGCAAGAAGACTGCAGCTCAGGAAGAGGACGCCAGGAAGAAGGAGAATGGCTCTGCATCAGGCTCCATGGGATTTCTCGACCGATCTAAGAGAGGTAGCAAGTCCATGTCGCGGAAGAGCTTTAGCTTTTTCCACAAGGACAAGGCAAACAGCGACAGCCCTGCGATGGATCATGAGAACGGCGATACGCCAGAGAGGGCAGAAAAAGCTGGTAAGAGCCGGCTCAGCATGGGATTGGGGCGAAAGAAGAGCGCCAATTTACTGTCTTCGTGATGACAAGTGGCTTAATATGACTGCGGGTTTACAAAGGACAAGCAGGACGAAAGAACCCTGCGCAAATGTTTCGGAATGGATTTTCGCCCTGTACGATTGATGATGGGACAATACCTGGCTGGGGGCTTGTACACGTTTTATGTCTGTTCAGGAACTCACAGCCCTAGAAGTGTCATTGGTGGGAAGCAAAATAGCATTAGGAGCGACGTTCTTCCTCGATATGAGGGCAGTGTAACTTGAAGCATATAGCACCGCGGAACGGCGTTGATTTGGAAGAGAAATAGTCGTTTTACTTGGCTAGCGGGATACGACGAGCACTTGGTGTCCAATCAGGGTGGGTAATTTGCAATTGTTTCTCTTTGGAGATTAACACATCTTCTTCTGATCTTGAATAACGTCAATTTGTCTTTTGAATCGTGTATGTGTACATGGCGGTGCAGGTCATGCCGGATACACCAACCGTTTAAATGGCCATTTCCTGCGTGTCATAGATTGTCCAGCCATGCCATGACGCCCATCATTGGCCCTGTAAATTACACCCTCAACGCCTGTGAATCCCCCCCTTCCCTTCTGGACCATGCTCGTACCTCTTTTGTCGCCAGTGTCGCTCATCCCAGTATCAACTCGTACAGAATAATGACCGAGTTTACAAATATTAACGGCACTGCGTCCCTCGTCAGCGTTGTTCGCCTACCCACTGCCCACGAGGCGGGAAGGGAAGAAGAAAAAGGTAAAAGCCGTACTCCGCATAATTGTCCGAATACTAGCGATTAAATGGATGATCTTTGCCTTGATGCTCGCATCGGCGCCGGTGCCAAAGGCAGGATCGTACGAGGCCGGGGAGAGATTGACTGGAGAATGATGTTTTAGCTACCAGGTCGCCAGTGACCATCGTTTGAGGCTTCCACGTATGTGTCTCGTCGGTCGCTGCTGGCGGAGGGGGATGGACGTACTGCGCGCTAGGAAGCGGTCTTCGGAGAGGATGGCCACGGCGTTGATCAGAAGCACCGTGATGTAGAGGAAGCTGCCGAAGAACAACATTGTGCCCAGGCCTTGTTGCGTGGTTCTGGTGAGGACGGGCGGCTGCGACGGGCTTGTCTGATGGATTGGGGGGTGGTTGTGAACTTGTGAATACGTGGCGGGGGATGGTTGCGCCGATCCGGTGAGAGGCAGGGACCCTCGAGCTACGTGTTGTAGTTGCATAGCTAGGTAGCTGAGGTGGGTGGGTGCCCCTGCCTATCATGTCTTATATCTCATACTTTCTCACTTGCCCTTTATTCATCCATCAATCAGAGGTTGACGGAGAGTATTTAGTACCCAGGGGCATTTCCTCATATTTGCCTTGATTAAAAAAGGGAAAAAATCAAAGGAAATGGTCTAGTGTCGGTTTTCGATTTCATCTGTATCTGTGTGCTGCATTACAATGGCGCTCGTTGGTACGTGTCACTCACTTACCCGCTCAGCCTGCTTCAACTCATGGAAACACCAGCTGATGAGATGCAGACGCCTTGCTCACATCCCTCATATTTATCCTTCCCACGGTGCACATCCTGATCGCCCCGCACACAAAGGTCGAGGAGTCGTTCAATCTGCAGGCCGTACACGACATTCTCATCTACGGCACCCCGACGTCCAACATCCATGAGCGCTTCCGGCAGACATATGACCACTTCAGCTTTCCTGGAGCGGTGCCGCGGACCTTTATTGGCTCGGTCCTCCTCGCGGGTCTGGGCCAGCCTGTCATTGCGCTCGTGGGGTTTCAGCATGCCCAGCTCGTAGTGAGATGGCTGCTGTGTTTGTTCAACGCCTCTTGTTTGCTCGTGTTTAAGAATGCCGTTCAACAGGCATATGGCAAGGGGACGGGGAGGTGGTGGACCGCGCTGATGATGAGCCAGTTCCATCTGGTGTATTATTTGGGGAGGACGCTGCCGAATATGTTTGCCTTTGGACTAAGTACTGCACCAGCTTTGACAGGCCCCCAGATTTATACACAATACTGACCCTTTTTATTTTGTTCGCAGCAACACTTGCCTTTGCCTTCCTCCTGCCAAAAGCCACGCGTCGACAAACCGTCGTCCGTGCCAAACAGGCTCTCAGTATTCTGACCTTTGCGGGGGTAGTGTTCCGCTCCGAAATCGCCATCCTCCTCGCGACGACCACGGTCTACCTCCTGCTCACAAAGCAGCTGCCTCTGCGTACCGTCATTCTCGTGGGCGCCATCTCCGCCGCGGCCTCGCTTCTCGTCTCCGTGCCCATAGACAGCTACTTCTGGCAGAAGCCCCTGTGGCCCGAACTCTGGGGCTTCTACTTCAACGCCGTGCAAGGCTCGTCCTCGGACTGGGGGACGTCACCTTGGCACTATTATTTGACGTCGGCCTTGCCACGCCTCCTCCTTAACCCGCTGGCCTTGCTACTGATACTCTTCTCTACCTTCCATCCGGCTCTGTACCGCCAGAACAAGGCCCTCCTGCTTCCCAGCCTATCCTACATCGCAATCTACTCGCTGCAGCCGCACAAGGAAACACGCTTCATATTCTACGTTGTCCCCTCGCTCGTTCTGTCCGCCTCCCTATCCGCGAACTACATCTCGACACACGTTTCCAAGTCCCCCGTCTACAAAGTCGCAACCTTCACACTGATCCTCTCGATTCTGGCTACGCTGTCCGCAAGCACGGGCATGCTCCTCCTCTCAAGCCTAAACTACCCTGGCGGCGAAGCCCTCAGCCAGCTCTACGGCCTGACGGACAAAGCCGCAACACCAATTACCGTCCACGCCGACGTATTGACCTGCATGACGGGCCTGACACTCTTCAACCAGAACAAACACGGTCTGCCACTGGCACTAAATGATTCCTGGGGTGTAGAAGCTCCAGGGAAAACAGTCTACTTATTTGATAAGACGGAGAAGAGTGAGAAGCTCGGATGGCCGACTTTCTGGCAGCAGTTCGACTACGCGCTGCTTGAGGATACGGCGCTCGCGTTGGGAGAGTGGGATGTGGTCGGGGTCGTGTATGGATATAGCGGAATCGAGTTGCTGAGGCCGGGACAGAGGGAAGTCGAGGACAAGTACCGAGCTCTTGGGCTGGGGGCGAAAATGAGGTGGATGAGGGGCGTAGTGAGGAAGTATACGGGAGGTTGGTGGGTTGGGCCGAGGATGGCCCCGAGGATTCATGTCATGAAGCAGAGGAGGATTGTACCATAAGAGGGGGCCGTGGGATACTCACCCGTGATGGGTGCAGGCAGGTTGTAATAATATAGAAAGAGTGCCGATACAGCAAGAGAGGCAATGCGTATTGGACCAGACGGAGGGGAAATTGGCCGCCGCGAGGTGTACAATACCTCAACACCGCAGTGCATGCTTGGTGAGAGGGCAATTTGATCTCCTTGCCAGACCGTAGCATGCCACCTATTCACAAATGTGCAACGACGCAGCGGTACTATTTGGGCAGTCGTGCCGGCTTCCAATGCGGTGATGCTGGCGCAGTGACGGCCTTCAATACCCAGGGGGAAATTTGCGAGCAAGCATGTACAAGTTGAAGTGTTTGCTTGGCGTGACTACAGAACCCGACTGATGTGGGAATATTAGTACATCAGCCCAGCTTGCTGAGACCCATCAGCTGCCGGTACACGATATATATACGCCAAGAATTATAAACAAGATAGGCCTCGGAAATTGCCCAATGCGCATAGCTTCATGAAATACGTGTCAGTGCTGCTCATAATAGACGATGAGCTCCCCATCTTGCTTCCCTCCCGTATTCCGCCTTCGCCAACCATTTCATTAAAGCGCTCACGATTCCGACCGACCTTGCAAAACCTAGGCGTTGTAGTCGTAGACGAGGCGGAACTCGGCACGCTCGCTGCCCTTGGCGACGACAATGTTGCGGCAGTAGCGGCGCTCGCCGTTGACCAGCTGGAAACCCCAGACCTGGGTGGCCGTCCAGCCGGCATCCAGGCTCTCGACGTGGCTGAAGATGAGCTTGCCGTCAGCCTCGGCCTCCCAGCCGTTCTTCAGGTAGGCGTCCTCGATCTCGTCCAGGCCGAGCCATGTGCTGCGGCCCTTGACGTGGCCAAACAGCCAGTCGGTGTGGTCGCGGTAGGTGTTGTCCAGGCACCGGTTCTCCTGGGTGTTGGTGAGGCCAGAGGCGGACTGGTCGATGTCGATGTGGACGACGGTGTCGGTGGACTCGTTCGGGGGCTTGGGAGGAGCCTCGTACTGGTTCACGCTGAGGCTGATGGTGGCATAGCTAATCCCCGTGCGGATAAAGTAGCCGATGCCCTGGATGGTCAGGGCTGGATCGGTAGACTCGGACAGCTCCTTGTTCTAGAATTCGTCCCCCCGCCCGCGGCCGCCCGCAGTTAGCAGTTTGTTTTCCCCAAAAGCTAGTATTACCCACGCGGACGAAACATGTCCGGCTGGTAATTTTTGGTGATGAGGCACAAGCGTCATCACATGTGAATTACCCCACTCGTCCGCGCCACATGATTTTCGATTACCTCGAGGCCCCAGCCACAAACAAAGGTTTTACGGTGTCCTTTTGGGAGTTGGAGAGGTTATCACCACTTACCACGGTCCATTGGCCGTTGAGGTTCTTCAAAGTCTTGTCCGCAGGGGCGGCCATTTTCGACAACGATCGGAAAGCCGGTTGACTGAGGATTGAGTTTTGGGGAGGGGGTTGGAATCCGGGGTTGATGGGAAGGAAGGGGAGGAGGGGCCAGGAGATGGGGGTATATAAAAAAATTTGGAAGGAGCTAGCACGAGGACAAGCTAGGAACCCTGTGGTGGGTTGTGTATGTTGACGGGGAAGGAGGCAAGTTGGGGAAAGAAGGAGCAGGCAGGATCAAGGCAAAAGATGCAGCAACAAAAGGAGAGACGGTAGGTCCCTTATATGGTCGACTGATCTACAAATGGACCGAGTAGAGGACAGACTTGTCCATAAACTAGTTCCCTTGGGTATCCAAGGTTGCAGGGTCGAGATGTCGTGTGCGACGTCGTCCAAATGTGCGATTTCATCATGTGTCTCCGGGAAGCGGAAGCGAGGCGATGAGGCTGACTGGCAACCGATTAACGGGGCACTTCTGCCTTGCCAGACCGGGGCAGTGATTCGAGCCAGTTGTGAGCGAACTCATCTGATGAGTTATCTTCTAAAGTTGGTGGACAGGCCTCGCAAAGTGCTCCGTGCGGATGGGATCTAGGCGGCTTTGTGGGGAATGCTAGCACTACTACTAGTACTAAGTTACCAATGGCTTGCCTTGCGAGGCGGGTACTAGTACGTATTGAGCACGTCTTCCCTCGCAAGTAGTGACTACATACGGAGCAGGAGGGACATCCGTGGCTTGAGACAGTCTCCCCCTCCCGTACGGAGTGAGAAGTTGTTCGTCCGACAGAAGGGAGTTCGCAACGCGTGGTACGGTGACACGGCGTCCAAGCTTACGCCGGAGCGGGATACTACTCAGATGGCCGGAGCGCGGCGCAGCACTCTGTACCTACTGTACGTACGAGGCCTCGAGTAGATGGATGACTGGAAGCCCAACTACCTACTTAATAGGTAGCTTTAGAGTGTTGGATGTTGAATGTCGTCGATGATTGAGCTAAGAGCCCCTGCGCCCGCCGCTAACAGAGGAACAGGACTAGCCACTCGCAACTTACCACTCACCTTGGACTTGGACTTGGACTTGGGTGAATTGGGTTGATGGGATCATCAACTCGGCCGGACCTCCAATTGCTCCGACGCGCTAGTCGTTTCCCTACCAAGTGACGTCCCACCGCCCAGGTGTTACCTACAGAAGGTACTCTGTACGTACTACTACCCGGGTACAGAGTACCCCATGGAAGCTCTTTCCCCAAAGTCGGCACATTGGCGGGGTCTCCACGCTTGCAAATGTGCCCAGTGCCACCAGTCAACAAGCACGTGAGGGCAAGAAAAGCTGAGGCCATTGAAGCAACCAGCTTGCTCCTTTGTTCCAACAGACCGTAAACAGCCTTGAGCTCATAATGCCTCATTTCGAGCCCAATCATCAGGGGCCTTGGGGGCGCACCAAAGCGCGACGTGCAACACGGACCATTGGCCGCTTTACTTGCCCTTCCCTTCCCGTCCAACAACCCTCCCAAGCAACGATGGTGAAGCCGCGTCGTCCATTGACGGCATCTTGCCTCCCTGTCAAGTGTCGATAGCGTAGGATCCTCCTGCTCAGCAACCCCCTTACGGGGGGGGATCTCTCTCTTGCTCCCATGAGGCAAGGATACCTGCCTTGCAACGGCACAACGCGGCATATCGCATCTGTCAACCTGCGCCTCTTGCCTCCCCCCCCCCCCCCCCTGCCGTCAAAGTTACCCAAAGGGCACATATAGGGATCCGAAATTACACCTTTGTGCCAGGTGTGCCGAAACCAGACATCATTGGCAACATCACAGCGCCCCTTCCCATTGGCTTGACATACGATGCCCAAAGACAATGCCTGCACAGAGGGGTGGTTAAGCCCTCGTCCCGGAGTAACATTCGGCATCGTCGCCCTCAAAGCCAAACCGGTATGGGTCGAGAACTGTTGCAATCGCGTGGATATCTTCAAATCTCACATGTCCGCACCCGCTGTGATATTGTATGTATGTACGGCGTAGGGGAACGCGAGATTGGCCATGCACAATGTGTTCCTTGCCTATATGCCATCAGGCCCTTGTGTCACAATTTCTCCAACTTTTTTTGGCCGACCAGGGCTGTTCTCCAAATATTACCACCCCTCCCATTCTGTTCCATGGTCTGGCTTGCTGCAGTGATCCGGGATCCATATATAGCACCTACATATGCTTGGTTGTGCCTTATCGGGGCTTGACCCCAAATCGATTTCTGTACCCCTTAGGGTCCATACTGTCTACATGGCTGTTACTTGCGTCACTGTTAGAGACGGAGCGTGCCAGTAACACCAGGAGCCATGGTCTGGCTTGAAATTATCCGCTATCGCTTGTATTCGTCGACACATTCATTGCGTTATGTGTCCATCGCCTACTATTGTATATACAGCGGGGCGGGCGAAAAGTTGTTGACCATGCCCGGTACCTAGCTATCACCCGCTATACTATGTCATACTGTAGTGATAGTAATGTCAATATGCTTTGAGGTGGGCAAATGTATCTCGCCAGATACCGAGTGGTCTAGCAATGTATGCGCCCTTACACCAACATCCTAATTGTACAATGCCAGACTCCATGCTTGCTTGGCTTGAAACTCTGGTTCAAAACAACAAATAATAAAGTGAGAAAGGGAAAAAAAACATGGGATGAAAGTATAAACAAGCCTGAAGCTCGAGCCATACTGCTTTCCCCCGTCTCATGCTCGATTTGCAAAGTTGGTCTTCGCTTTGGCATGTCTCTACAACATATCCGCCGTCATTCATTTCGTCCCTAAAACCTGCAAAGCCAAAAAAAAAAAAAAAAGATAAAGGATGCTCATTACCTGCCATGTTCCCCATTATGATGCGTTGGTCCTGCAAAAGAAGAAGAGGAAGAAAAAAAAAGAACAAAGGGAACGGATCAATGCTCTTTGTAACAAACAGTATTCTTTGCCTGTCATGGCCACCACTTCATTCTCTTGTAGCTTTCAATCACTTCCTCCATCAGTTCTTTAGTGATGACTGGCTTCTCGTATGTGAACTTGATGAGCGTCTCCAATCGGCTGCCGTCCATACTGAGATCTGTGTCCTTCAGAAGCTCCTTCTCCATGAAGGGCGTAAGAGGTCCGGGCCGAGTAATTCCTGCATCTGCAAGCAGTTCGGCCCAGGGACCAAGAACCTCGTCGTTGACGTCGTCCACCACACTGTCCAAATTCAGGCGTGCAAATGTGCTGATTAACTGACCCTGAAATCCCGTTTCAATCTTGAAAATGTCACCAATAATAGCCGCCATCATTCCTTGGTTAGTCTCACCCTTATCCACGACGTTGAAAGTCGGCACTTTTCCCATTTCAGTAGTCCACTGGGCTTTTCCGGCGGCATACCATGCGGCAACTTCCCATAACGCTCGCGACGCATCATCGATGTGTACTGTATTGGTTCGGAGGTCCTTGGTCCACAGCCACTTCATCTCACCCTCGAGGTGCTGATAGACGCGGGCCATGCACAAAGCCGTAGCCACCCACTGCGATGCATATGGACCGTAGACATGTGGCAAGCGAACAATTACCAAATTGAGTCTGTTGAATGAGATAGAAGGTACCATGATTAGCAAGGTGGTGTTCTGCTCCAGCCGTCTTGTCGTATTGGTGCAGCGGTTTCAACTTACCCGTCAATCTTGGCCAATTCCTGCTCAGCTTGCAGTTTGAAGATTGCAATCTTGCTCCACGGCTTCAACTTGTCCGTCTCCTTGCTAGGCGAGGAGTCTGACTTGTAGACCATGCCGGTGCTTAGCTCCACAAATGCCTTCACTTTTCGCTTGGCGGCCTCCTTGCCCACTGCCATCGAAAGGTTGAGTGATCTCAGTTTGTACACTTCGTCTTCCTGAGAATATCTTGTTTCACCGCCGCAATTGAAGACATAGTCCCACTCTTTGCCATCCGGACGGTCAAATATCCTTGCCAACCCTTCTATTTCAGGAAAGTCAGTAATCAAATTGTCAGTCACGGGTCCTTCTATTGGTATCGGCTTCGACCACCACACATGACAAAAATGTGAAAATAGTAGATAGGTCAAATCCATCTAACGTACCGGGTCTGCTAGCGTCTGCCTGCATAAACTTGTCCGGGGAGCAAGCTTCCGCGAACTCGGGTCCCAACCACGCCAATTGAGGCAATACCTTGTCCACTAGCCGCACCTCTGAAGCCAGCATGTTCCTATGGATATGAAGTGCCAAGAAGCGACCAAGGTAGCCCAGACCACCGATGATTAAAACTGACGGCTTTTCGTCCGCCATCATTGATGCAATTTGTCACCACAGAATGGCCCAAGGAGCAGGAGGTATGGCGGAGAGCTTGTCGAGGACGGAAACCTTGGATGAAGCGGGATAGCGATAGCTACTCGTGCGCCTCTTGTTTGTGTCGGACCGGCGCCTCGATGGAGTATTGAGGGGGAACACAGGAGTATGCAGTCCAAAAAACCACTCAACAGAGGCAAATTATTCAGGTCGATGACGGCGAACACAAATTCCTGATTTGTCAGTCCAAGGTGAAGGGGGGCGTGACAAAGACGACCTGGCGTCGTTTATTCTTTAGATTGAGCGAGTTCGAGTTTTGGCTGCAATGTCCTCGGTACGAGGGGGAAAGATAAGGGGAGGACTGGCAGCGAATGAAGCTTTGGGGCAACGTGGAGACGCAAACTATGAGAAGCGCAACGGCGACTTGCGGCTGTTGAGAGTGAATGGTAGAGTGAATTGGATCCGTTGAAGACGAGATGTCCCGTCCAGGCTTGAGGACCAGGAAAAATTAGCTGGCGAGGCAAACAATAAGTTCAGAACGTAGACGAGACAAGCAAAACAAGACGTGAACCAGGCGGCCAGGGATGATGGGATGGAGGGGCTCGGTCTTTATGCACCTCGACGCAGAGCCCAGGTAAAGCCCACGCAGATGCACCTCCATGTAACAGAGGCAGGCACGCTGGGCCACAGAGCCACGGTCCACCTTCAGGACAACCCTCG